ACCGCTGGGTGGAAGCCATTTTCATAAGGGGTCAATGACTGGCCGTGGATGGGCGGCGCGCGTAGTGCCGCCTAATGGGCAGCTCAAAGCTGCCGCCTCTGTTCCACGTCGAGGTTATTGGTGATCACACCACATTCCTCAATGACGAGAAGTCAGGGAACGGACATTGGGTCCGCAAAGCGAGAGCAGGGCTCGTATCGCGCCGGTGGCCCAGCTCGCCACCCTCGTCATCCCATGAAGGAAAAGGGGTGTCAGACCCATCGTTAACCATCTCCAGATCCTCAACGAGGCCACTCGGCACCGAAAAAATGCGCGGAGCGCGACGCTTGTGCTCATCAAGCCGAGGATTTAAATCCCCCAGTTCTGCGGATGCACTGTCCGATGTTGCACTTAGTGCGGGCGACGAAGTTGGGCTCTGCCCATGCTCGCCGTCAGAGCCAGCGAGACTTGGGGATTTTGGTGTCATTGACACAGGGCTAATTGAGCAAGGAAGTCTTTAAGTTGCAGTTTCTAGCGGACACGCGAGCCTCGTTGAGGCAATAATCAATTGGAACTGTAAATGCTCTCATTCTTAATGAAGGAGGGTCTAACGGGGTTACACGTTCCCTGGTAACAGGGTTGTGTCACACGAGATGTGCATGGTGTGACTGCACCCAAACTAGAATACCATATGTTGCTAACTAGCCAGTTGTTATGCATGTATTTAGATTTTACTATATATAATTAGTATATTTTGGAAAAGCCAAAGTTTTAAAATTAGGATGAAGTAAAAATCAGTTTTGGATTCAAATCGAAGAGGCAATAATTACTCTTGGAGTAAGCGGATTGCGATCCGCTTACTCATACTTGGTTTTTGTAAAGAACGAATGGTTGGTGACCTAAAGTACGCTTCCTCAAGCGCTAAGCTACGGCAGCCCCACTGCATGACGGGACCGGTCCAACGATGACCGAAATCGTGAGCATTCGAGGGATCTATGTCGGAATGTTCTTGCAAGCGTAAGCTATAATAGCTATAGATAAATAAGATACTTAATGTATCTGAGTTACTATATACAAGAATTAATCTTACGTGATGCACCAAATGAGGCTGGCGGTTCACGTGTCTGACACATTTCTCCTTTACAAAATGTTATCAATTTCATCCGTATCAGTACTAGCCATGATACTTCTTCGCGGTACTGAACACTGATATTTTTGATTGTTTTCTTACGTTGCAGGAACAACTGTGACAATAGTGTAATGTGTAAGACACCATAACAAGGTATATTCTATATTACCGCCTACGTTGCCCCGTTATGGTGTACCTACACGTTAGAGTGTACCTAGATCAGTTGAAAGTTGTTATGTATTATCTTATCACACGGCTATACCTACTCGGTCCTGACTAAGATATTGCATCGCTTTATTCCGCTGGGGTTTTCTTCTTGATTTTTAATTGTTGATTTTTCTTGTACGAGTCGCCATCCCGAAGTCCTTATTGGCTGTTGTCGGTAATA